ACGGTGCCTCTACGCGTGTCTGCAAGATCTGCGCGCAGGCCATGACAGTGTTTTCGCCGGATTGAGAGGATGTTTCGCATTACGGACCGAGAAAGTTTGCAGGATCCCGAATATCGAAAATATTGGGAACGAAAGAACACGTACTTCCTCGCTCAGCCCCGCCCCGATCCTCCGAGATTCCCCTACCAACGAGGCGACGAACGCAAGTGCGACTGGGATCACACATGGTTAACGGGGACCCCCAGTCTTCAGCTCCTGAGTAACAGGTCTAAAACTGAAATTAGGGTTTGGAGGTGAGATTTCAAGTTTTTTTTTTTGTTTTTTTTTTGCCTGTTTTTGTCTTAGTTCAAGGTTGTTGTGTACCAAATTTGGTCTCATTTGGAGCATTGGAATTTCCTCTGATAAGAGTGTTTCCAAAAATACTGAAAATTCGCTGAATCCAAAATGTCATTCAAGTGCACTTTTGCCTTACTGTTTCACCCTGTTTTTATTTTTATTTTTCGTTTTTTTTTAATGGTTTGTTAATATGGTGTGCACTCTATGGAATGATGCAATTTTTGGTTAAAAAGGTCTTCTGATTTTCTTATAAATAGCATTAAAAAAACGCTGAAATTTTGGGTCTCCATTAACCGCCTCTCACTGGGATATAGGGATGGCATTGGACACCGTTCCTCACACAGCCCAATTTCCCGAGTCCCACACGAGCCACCTCTTCTCAGAGCCTAGGGTCGTCGTCCTAATAACTCACTGCCCACCGTACCGAGTGGTGTTGCCCTTCCATTACCTCACCGTCATCCCGTGGCACGCTATCGCTCTGTATTGGCCTCGAACCCCTTGTTTTGAGTGCCAGCGAGACAGCGATTATCGAGCATCGGGGTTCGTTCGTCGAACCCGAACGGAGTCTGAACGATGGGCACGCAACCTCCAGCTGAGACCCTCATCGTTTGATTCCGAAGTTTGTAGCGATCCGTGACAGCAGTTGATCAGACAGTGCGATGCCCATAGCATGCACCCTGTCGACCAGGTCCGCGACCGACCGCAAAGGCGAAGCCATAGGAGATGGTAATTCCCATCTCTAGGGCCTAAGGCATACGAAACATGCTTGAGATCGACGACAGGGGACTCTGTTTGAGAATGCAAAAGTATCTAGATCCGCTAACAATGTGATTACAACGGAACTCTTAGTATCCCTGGGATACGCTGCGGTCCATCTGCCTTATGTTGCACGACATCTGCAACTTTCTTTTCTTTACACTAAGTCTGAGAGGCAGTCTATGTGCTCGAAAAAACAGAAACGCCGCGCGCGTACTTTCCTTTCGCGCTTTTACCCCCGAAACTTGCCACAGGAGATCTCATTTTTGTCCTGGGACTCCACCCCCACTTTCCTTAAATCCTTGGCACACCCCCTTTTTTGCACTTCCGGGCCCCCATCCCACTCCGATCAGGAAGTCGTGCTGGGCGTGAGGTTGGGCGTCACAGCGGAGAATCCGTGCAAGTGTGTGGCACCTGGCCCTTGGAAACCCAAAGAGCCAGCCAGCTATCAAGAGGACGAAAACTGGCTATGGGGCTCGTTCTACACCACTCGAAACTCAAGGGCTTCTTGCCGCTGTTTCCACGGAGCCCTTGAGTTTCGCTAATCACTGGCGGGTCGTCATTACGTTTTCGGGATTATCAAACAGGCGGGAAACTCTCAAGGGTGGCTCAAGTGCGGCCCAGGCAAACGAGGTGATTTTTCAAGTGACCTCTCGGGGCACACGAGCTGCCCTTGAGAAGTGTGCAAAGGAGCGGCGCGAGGCGGTTTCAGGTACATGTAGAACCCCCCGGTGTTTTTTTTCCCCCCGTTTATTCTCCTTTTTCTAACGCCATTGTCCTGGTTGAACTTCTCGCGAGCTGTTCCCGCTCATTTCAAGGGCGGACTCGAGGGTTGAGCGGAACGAAACGTGACTCAGGTAATTTTTAATCACTTTTGCAACTTGAGTGCGCACTCGAGTTTCAAGTGAAGTGGTGTGGAACGAGGTCCTATAGCCCCCGCCTGATTACCCAGCCTACTCGGATTGCCCGCCTGGACTGTTCCTCCTTTTTCCTTTTGACTAGAAAAGGGCTACGACCAATCGAACTGACTGGCCCCACCATTTTATTCTTGTCTTTTTTTTTTTTTTTTTTTTTTTTTTGTGTGTGTGGGGGGGCGGGGGGGTGAAATTTGTCTCACGCCCCTGTAATTTGCGTTATTTCGCGTCGCGCCCCTCCGCCACGCCCCTCTGAGCAGGGTTCAAATTTTCCATAAGACCCCGGTGTCGTTTCGGCCTCAAATCTTTTCGTTACGCCCCTACCGGTACCGGTCCCTAGTTTGCGGGATGCCCGTACCGGATGGCCGTTAAAAGCCAGCGGGAAATTTTTCGAGATGCCCCTAACGGTGCCATTTGCTGCCAAGCCATTTGCTGCTATGTCATCTGCTGCCACGTCATCTTCTGCTACATTAGCTTATGCCACGTCATCTGCTGCCAGTCCATTTGCTACCAAGCCATTTGCTACTACATCATTTGCTGGTATGTCATCTGCTGCCACGTCATCTTATGCCACATCATCTGCTGCCAATCCATTTGCTACCAAGCGGTTTGCTACCAAGCCATTTGCTGCTACGTCATCATCTGCTGCCTCATCAGCTGCTGTCACGGCATCTGCTGCCAAGAGGGCATCTGCTGCCAAATCGTCCACAACTGCCACATCTTCTACTGCTTTCCCAGATGCAGGGGCGTCTCCCTCTTCTGACAAACAAAAGGATGTTAGTGGTGCCACGTCTTCTACTGCTTTCCTAGATGCAGGGGCGGCTCCCTCTTCCGACAAACAAAAGGATGTTAGTGGTGGACAGTCTGAGTCAAAGACGAGGGCAACGGCGACCTCGATGAATGCAAAGGCGGGAAAGAAGAAGTCTGGGACGAAAATCAGGGGACGGGCATTGGCTCTTGCAAGTCCGTATCTTGTCTCATCCGAAGGTTACGATCTATGGAAGAAGATGATGAAGGAGGAGAGGGGTGTTGTGATGGCGCTGTGCGCCTATGGCTGGTTGGGGGACTGTACAACGTTCCAGCCCTCTCTCTCTCTCTCTCTCTCTCTCTCTCTCTCTCTCTCTCTCTCTCTTGCTCGCGGTTGGTCAATCAATTTTCCGAAACGTACGGTCATGATGGCCGTGTGTACAATGACAGTTGCCCAAAATGCAACTATAATGACCGTCATTGTAGACACGGCCATCATGACCGTACGTTTCGGAACTTTGATAAACCAACCGCGTGCGCGCGCGCACGAGCGAGAGAGAGAGAGAGAGAGAGAGAGAGAGAGAGAGAGAGAGAGAGAGAGAGAGAGAGAGAACTCACCAACTCACCCTTTCTCTCTCTCTCTCTCTCTCTCTCTCTCTCTCTCTCTCTCACACACACACACACACACACACACACACACACACACACACTTGCAGGGAAGAGGAAGATATGGCACAGGGCCCAATGGAAATGCGAATTTGTGGTGCCTCACGGCTGCGGGGGCATTGCAGAAAGATGGCTACCCGTCATGAGGGCATATGGCACAGGGCCTGACCGTCAGTCCAAGGAGGGCGTCCTGGAAAGTTGCGGTCACTGCCGACAAGGGCCTGCCGAAAATATTTTTTGGCCCAGGGGTGCAACAGGGTAAATCGGCCGTCGGAGGGGCGCGACACGAAACAACGCAAATTACAGGGGCGCCAGACAAATTTTCCCGTGTATGTGTGTGCCCCCATTTTATTCTGTTCGTCTGATTGCAGCTAGATTTTTTCGAACTTGGGGCTGGGCTAGAACAGTTCATGGGTGCACCGACTGAGCTAGGCCGGCCGGTGATTGGCCTCCCTCGTGGTTCACCTTAGCGTCCCATCACACACACACACACACACACACATATATATTTATATATATATCGTCACAAACAGAACTGCCCGGTAAACCGTAGGCAGAGAGAGAGAAGATGACGATATATATATATATATCGTCAAATATATATATATTTGACGATATATATATATCGTCAAAGAGAGCGTATGTATATATATAAAGTACATATATATATATATATAATCTAATGTGTATTGTAATTGATATGTCGGGCATTGTTCAAGCACCCAAGCACTCGTGGAATGCGAGAATGACGAGTGTATCTTGACTCGAAGAACGTGACTCGATGCATTCGCTATTTTCCCACTGGGTGACTGATAGAACGAGGCTGACAAAGTGGACATGGTGCATGTTTTTGCACGTCGGCCTATCGGTTTCGACGTGGGCGATGTGATCGACCGGAATCGACGGCGGTCAAGACGCCCAACGAGGAATCAAAGCGGCGCGCAGCGCAGCGGACTGGGATTCTTCGATTCTTCGATTTGGCGCGAACGTTCCATGGCGCCATGATTCACCATCGTGATCCGCAGTCACGCTACAGAATCCCCGCCAAAAGAAAATCTACTTCCGCTACGCCCGTTTGTCTTCGTGCGCTTTTCCCACGTCCGTTTTTGCATCGCGATTGTTGGTTCCCCCCGAACGCAACGCACCCTCTTTTTAGCTGCACCTGACCGGAAATTTAGCATGCATACATACAAATTCCGTGTCAGGGTGCGTTGTGTTTGGAGGACGACGGCAGCGCGCGTTTCTCATGTGGTAGCCATTGATTTCCACCCCGCTCTGCACTACTACCGTCTTCACCCGAATGGAACGTCAGGTCATTATCGCTGCATCTGGACTGAAAGTTGGGGCAAATGCAGCTCTAATGACAGGGCGTTCTATTCGTGTGAAGACGGTAGCAGTAGCTGGCTCTCCACCCCGCCTACCTTCTCTCCACTACCTCACTGCCAAGGTAGCTGGCTCTCAACCCCGCCCACGTTCTCTCCACAGGGGAAAACGAAAACGCACACAGTCCATGCGAGCTACCCGCCGGTCGTCGCTTCTGGCGCCAATTTTTGTAGCCGCCACCAGCTACGTGTGGCGGGATCGATGGCGACAAACAGATAGACAGCGCTCACGCAGATTGCTCGCACACAACAGGCGCGGTAGTCAGGAGCACGATTTGGCGGGCTACGAGTTTCGATTTGGCGGGCTTACAACTTTTCGCCAAGCCCGCGCAGTCGTTGCTCTCACTCGTTCGAGGCAGAAGTGGTAGTAAAAGGCGGGAGAGTGTCGTCGAAAACACTTGTGAAAAAGAGGTTATGCTTGTAGAGGGCGTGCATGCGCGGGAGCGTGTACGTGCCCGGAAGTTGACGAGAAGAAGAACCGTCAGCGCGATATTTTTTTGTACTTAGTATACGCTTCTCTCTCTCTCGAACGAACGAACGAACGAACGAAAGAACGAAAGAACGACGCTGAGAGCAATTCCGTTACGATTGGTGCCGTGTTGCATTACGTTACGTGACGTTATACTTGATTGATCGGGTTCGGGTTCGGGTTGTGTTGGAGGCTACATTACTCTGAGTGAAGCTCTCTCCTTTTCTCAACGGGCTGCGGCGATGGAGGCTGCTGCTGCTTTGGGTATGGCAGTCAGCGTGCCCTCGGCGTCTTCCATGGCCGTAGCTCGAGCAACAGTGGGAGCAGGAGAGGTATCGCTGCGAAGAGTAGGCGCTGGGGGCGGCGGAGCCAAGCTGGTCGTCAAGCCGCTCACTGGAAGCTCAAGCTCATCCCGGCGATGGAGGGCACAGGGCGTGCGTGCGCAATCTTCCAGCTCGGAAAAGCCATTGTACATCGGCTACAACCCGAAGAAAACGTAAAGCGCGCCGAGTCTCCCTCTCCCTTCTACGTCTCTCTCTCTCTCTCTCTCTCTCTCTCTCTCTCTCTCTCTCTCTCTCTCTCTCTCTCTCTCTCTCTCTCTCTNTCTCTCTCTCTCTCTCTCTCTCTCTCTCTCTCTCTACCTACCTACCTACCTACCTATTCCCTTCCCCTTATTCTGTATCCATTACTACCGCCTTCACTCCAATAGAACGGCCGGCGGGCATTATAGCTGGATTTGGGGCAGCTGTCACTCCAGAATACAGCGATAATTGATGGGCTGGCGTTCTATTCGAGTGAGGAGGCTGCTCTCTTCCCCCCAACCCCGATTATGAATGTATATATATCATCTTTCCCGTCAAATACAGTCATGATGAGGCTGCGTTGTGTTCGGGGGAAGCGGTAGTCAGTCGATCAAACACCACTCTTTATGGCCTTGAAGTTTACTAATACGAGTCTTCACCCGAATGGAACGCCCCCCCCCCACCCCCCCCTTCCTTCTCCCCCCCAATCAAGGCCATGAAGAGCATGTTAGTAAAATGTGAGGCTAACAACGAATCATACAATCGGACCGAGAGAAAAAGATCGATTACGAGGGCCTTCCTTACACACAATACGACTGTTTGGGATGTATCTGACCGCAATGATCGCCAAGGTAATTCCCAAAAAGTCCCGACTGTGAAAGTACGCAATACGACTGTTTGGGATGTATCTGACCGCAATGATCGCCAAGGTAATTCCGAAAAAGTCCCGAGTGTGAAAGTACGGCCTAATTCATTGTTGTTCCACCAGTGGAGTCTATCGATCGACCGAGGAATTGAAAGTGCGAACCGTAGAAATTTTATTTTATAATGAATTTGTTTTTCTGTTTTTTTTTAACTTTTTTCAAAAAAATAAAAACAAGAAGCGCGCGAATTGAGCCAGTGAAAAGAGAAAAATGAAGTGGACTTGTAACTTGTTTGTTGCCCTCTTTGTTCTTTTTTTTTTTCCGGTTTTTATGGGCCTTTCTGTTTTCCCCGCCCTTTGTCACATGAGGATAAAACCTGATATTTTCAGAAAATGAGTCTCTTAAAAAAAAGAGTCTCTTTTTTTGTCTTTCTTGTCCCCTGTCTTTCTTGGCAAATGGCAAGTGATGTAACGTCCTCACCCGAATGGAATGTAGGGTGATTAAAGCTGTGTTTGGGGCAACTTTCGGTCTAGATACAGCGATAATGAACGCATGTTCTATTCGGCTGAAGACCGTAGTAGCGGAAAATTGTTTTTTTTTTTTTTTTTGTTAAATAAAAGAAGTTTCTTCTCAGACGTAAAAAAAAAGAGTTTTGTTGGCTGAATGGCTTGGAGAATTGTTGAAGCTTCAAAATTTGGCCCCAGCCATACCCTTGTAAACTTCGCCTCCTTGGGCGAGATCCCACTGGCAGCCAGGATTGGACTAACTGCCTGAATCTGGATGGGTTTTACAAGGAGATGCAGAAACGCAGAACAATTACTCTATTTTTGTTGCACCTCACCGCAAACACTTCCAGATTCAGGCATTTAAT